AAGACAATATCATCTTCGTGGCATTTCTTTCATACTTCGTTGCTCATAAAACGCCCAAGGTATATAAAATTCGTTTTTTCCCTTCAGCATCTAAGTCAACAGTTCGTTTCTCTTTTTCTTTCTTTTCGATTATTTCAGATTGTCATGTCTTTTTGCACGGGTACTTTTTGTACGTGTCAGCCTCGCTGCTTTGTTTGTCAGTTCGTCTTATAGATCCTTATTCCTACGTCACCAAATTAATTTGACAGTCCGTAGCAGAGATTTCCGTTTCTACACTTGCCCCCGGGCGCTTGCCCTTCAATGATTTTATATTCACAACAATGCAATGCCTTCCACATTTCCACGTAACTTCATTTTAGACGTTAAAACAATATGTTATAAAAAAGGAACTTGGAAGTTTTAATTCGTATATACCCAAGGGTAATTAGCTAAAATCTTCCTTAAGCGTAACTGTTCCAGGCTACAACCTGCACTCCCCACCCAGAGCTTTAAATTCTGAGACGAGGACGACTACGAGTACGAGTACCGAGTATTGCTCACGCGAGAACCAGCGTCATTTTGGCGGGAAAACGTGACAGCCGTCGTCATTCTTCCACGAATTTTAGCGAGAATGTCGTTGTGGCGGGAACAAGTTATCAAATCTTTAAGCAATAGACCAAACTTTCTATGGGTTTGCCAGCGTGATAACCCACGCAGGATGTTGGGAGAACACGAGAAATGCTTGTAAATCACGAGCCAAAGGCAATTGATTTACAAGCTTTTCGAGTGTTCTCCCAACATCCCAAGTGGGTTATCACGCCGGTAAACCCATAGAAAGTGTGGTCTAGTGCCTTTATAAAATAACTTTACGTAAAATGGAGTCTACCGGCAGTCTATCTACGAGTTTACCAGCACAATAAACCATAGGTTTTTAACCAATAAGAACGCACGTACTATCTTAGTTATTTTATAAAGTTCTAAAATCCCGCTTCGCTGTCCGCTTCGCTGTCCGCTTCGCTTATTCCCTCTATAATGGCCCCTAGGCCTCATTATCGCGCGGCCAATGTGTTTGTGTCACGTGGTCCGAGCGAAGCGGCCCTCGCTGGTTTTTGGCGGGAAAGTCGATTGCCGCCCGCGACAACCCAGAAGTTTTATTTGAACCAAATCGCGAAATCGCTAATCTCTCACCTATTAAAAGCCCAGTTTCCTGAAAAAATTCTTAGTTTTTTCTACGCTGTTCTGCTATTGGTCGACTGGCGAATGCATAAAGTCACAGAACTGAAGACAACTCTTGTCGACAACCGTAGAGTCGACAACTGACGATATCGAGACGATACCAAGACAGGTAAGGAAATAACTAAAGCTAGGTTTTTGATGTAGGGGGTTTCAATGAGCACCGATCGAAACGCTTTAGACTCGCTTTAGCTAAAGGTAAATCGGCTACTTTTTCCTCGAAAGAAGAGGCAACTAGATTTCGTAAAACTTTAGCATCGGAGTTTTCATGGAAAACCGCAAACTGCAGTTTGCAGTTATGCGTTTGCATTTTCACATTGCCGGGATTTCAAATTTTAGCAAGGCGTTCATTGTTTAGTGCCGCCATGCTGTTTTTCATCAAGTCGAAGTGCATCACTTTGATCGCCCAAAAACAGGAATAATTCTTCGATTCGAGTGATCCAAAAAACACACCGCAGACGGATATAAAAAGATACTTGGTGCCTTCAAACCAGGGGCATCCAAAGAGAATATAGTTCAAAACCTAAACATAGCATTGTTAAACGTATTTTAGTATTCAAACCGTAGATATAGGCATGGCATATTTTTATCCCCTAAAAATTTTTCATCTGTTCGGATTTCCTAGCTGAAAGTCTAGTGATCCGAAAATTACAGGGATCAAAACTTACCTTTTCGAAAATTTCAGCCACTGAAAAGGCTCCCGAAAATTCTAGGTGACCTTTCTAGGGTAAAAATCCGTTAGACGTTCGAAAATCCTAGGAGAGGCAGGCAAGTAACAAATTTTACAACAAATGTTCCGAAAATTCTAGGTCTCAAATCGACTTCCGTAGACTGACGTAGGGTGCCCCTGTTTAAACGCGAGGCTGTACAACTTTTAGAGGCAGAAAACCTTGGGGTAAGTCGCTCACCGCTTAGAGCCCTTCCTGCTGTTCAAAAGTGAACTGCAAACTGCAAACTCGATCGCAAGACCCTGGTCACCTGACGTTTTGGGGTTTGCGGTTTTCCATGCAAAATCTGGTCTCTATTAAGCTTCACGTATACGGCAAACGGCAAACGTCAGATTCAAGTTGAGAATTTCTCAAAATAGAAAATGAGCAGATAAGAACAGCTCAAAATAATTCATCTGGACAAAAAATTGCGTGAAACATAAATTTATATGTAGAAGTAATGAACAGTAAGGGGCCGACCATTTAACTCTTGAGGGGGGGGGGGGGGGGGGGGGGGGTTTTTGGGGGGGGGGGGGGGGGGGTGATGGGTGATTTTGAAAAAAAATTTCCTGCAAGCGCTTGTCGGAAGAAAAAAATTGCATGCAGCACAAATGTAATAGAAAGCTTATGGGAAAAAAAAGGGGAAAAAATATCCTGCCCACCAGATTGCTAGAAAAAAATTCTTGATGACCAGAAATCACCCACCCCCTCCCTCAAGAGTTAAATGGTCGGCCCCTAAGCAAGGAGAAACTTGGTCACGTGGTACAAATTCCCGTTTGCCGTCTGACGTAAACGTGATGCTAACCTCTTTAATATCATAAAATCTGAATGAAAAGGTGATAATGATGTCTTTTCGTACCACTGGTGGTATGTTATGCTTCAGTTATGTGAACTCTGTGTTTAAAAAATTTTTCACATGTTTCTTTACTTTATATGTTCACGTGCAAAAGTGGGTAAGTTAATTATCGTCATTTGCTCATTGCTCGTAGGAGTTGATTTCGTAGCTGATGAATTAAATCTTGAATGGAAGCTCCATTTTCTTGAATAAAAAACACGCTCTTTTGTACTCAATTCAGTCCCCAGAACGCTGGTAAATGTATTTTAGGGCTTTTGAACTGTCAAACTTTTCTGGGGGAACACGCCCCCAGATACCCGACCCGGGCCCTACAAGAAAAAGGGGACTAACGACCAACTGTTGACACAGTCGGTTCCTCTATTCAAACCTGCTGCTGGCTACTTCATTATTAGTAGAATCCTCTGATCTTTTAAGAATAATCCTAAAAGAATAACGGTAACTATTAATCTTTAAGTTTGAGCTCAATTTTAACAAAGTGTTAACTCATCAATCAGAGTAACATGAGATAAGGCTTAATTTTCGTATCTTGATTCTTTGCAGACTGATTTAAATGGATTTTAATCAATTTTCCGAGCAAGTTGCAATTGGACGAATTCCAGATGAAAATGGATTCGAAACAACAGCTTGGTTAATACCAAGCTGTCATACTAGACGAATACATGAACCATCAACTTGGAGAGGCGTCTTGGAAAAATCGAGAGAATGCAGGAATCCTGTTTTGCTATCTGAATCTGGACAAAAAGTTGTCGGGGCAATAAGGCAGTTATGTGGACCAAGAAAAACTCTAGGCATTAAATTCCCACAAACGCAAGGTACTGATCAGTAGCCGTACGTAGTGATGTCGTTTATTCTCTACTGTTTCTTAAATATAATATTCATGAAAAAAATGTCAGTTATCATTGGCTAGGAGAAATGGAATTCTTAGGACACACAGTATAAATTTGGCTTTTACTTACTTTTGCACTGATTTTCTCCCTAAGCCATCACTATCGCATAACAGTAAGACTAGTATAATTAAAATGAAACTATTTCTCGAGTCTGCTGTGTCCATTAGGAGAAACAGAAGTAGTCGTGACCTCCCGCTATACCATCCAGATCTTTCGCGGAGAAACTGTCGAACCTAAAGCATTTTAGTAGGAGAAGCGGAGTGCACGTTATCGCCTGGTCGGCGTTCCCTTTTTCCGACCACAGTTTTCATATTCAAAGATATGTCAAAGAATTCAAGAAATTGATAAGGAGAACACCTGCACTTATACGAGGAAGGAGCTTTGCAAAGCTAGTCAAAACCTAAAAAAAAAACGAAGTCGCAGCATGGGATGGTTTAAATCATTGCTTGGTACAGAACGAGTCCGGGCCTTTCTTGCTCAGAAAAAGTAAAATACAATCACACTGGACTCTTAAAAAACCTTGTAGGCAGGAAATAACTTTCATCAACTCTCTGACTCTGTTTGACCTGTTTCTTATAACCACCAATACCATTTGATGAATGTTTTTGTCTCTAAATGTTGTATTGATGTTATTGTTTTAATTAGCCTCAGAATACTACCTCCAGGAACCACAGACTACGCCTGAAAGTCAACTTTGGGATTGTGAGACACAAAATGTTGCGCCCTTTTGTGGTATAAAGCAAAGATTACAAGCCCATAAGGCTGGCAAAGCACGGTAAGCATATTGCGAACGTATACATATGTTGCCATCAGTTCTTGCAAGGAATTTTGTTTGGGATTTTTGAGAATAAATTTAACTCACAAGTGATATGTTTAATGATCAAATATATATTCAAGCAGCCTAAACAACAACAGTATCGCTCTCCAAGACAATTCATCTGACGTACAATATACTGTATAAAACTTTTTTAATACACCGTGTCAAATGGCTCATTCTGTCATGATCAAATGCATGGTCGAAGTCTCTCAGTATTGTTCAATTTACGATCACTTTATATTGAACCTTTCAATAGTCAATAGCTCAGTGGAGAATGTACTGAGCCTTCTTAAAGTTCCCTAACGCTGGGTCTGTTTCGCGCTAAATCTACTTATGTACTGAGCCGCTCACTTTTAATTGTTTTTTCTTAAACTAAAGGTCAACTTTCTTTCTTTACCATTTAGATATTTGCCTTCAGACCCGAACGAAGGAGAATCAATTTACTTTAGTAAAACAGGTAAATATTAGCTCGTCTTTTTTGGATCTACTGGTTATATAGTTAAATCTTTTGATGTTTTGAAGATGAGTCCGGTAAGGAAACTGCCGAATCAACAACCAGAAAAAAACTAACACCAGCAAAGAGGAAAACGCAACAAAGTCCAATCACCACCTACTTCAAAGAACGGAAAATTGTTCAGACCCCAAGTGAAGCAAAGAAGGCGAAATCGCCAAACGCAGGTAAAACCGATTATAAGTACTAATATAAGTCATATAAATTCTTCAATTTATGTTTATTCAGTGTCCAGGATTTTGAAGAAAAAATACAAAAGGGCTCAGAGCCCTTGGGATTAGCACGGTCCGTTATCGCGAGTCTTTTGTGCGGGAAGGATTGGAAAGTTGCGACTTCGATTCGCAGGTATGACATCTGCACCGTAAAAGGAGCACTCAGGATGGTAAGATGAAGGCACCGTTGGCCTCATGTATATTTTTTACAAAAGACACACGTCGTAAAATAGGGATCTTTACCTTTACCTTTGTTATGTCCGGTTCATACGCCGAACTTTTCATGAGCCGAACCTAACACATTGAATATAGTAGATGAAACGTTCGGCGTCTGAATCAATTAGAAACGCCTGTTTCTGGAACGACTCAGCCGTTCTTTTCGCCTAGCCTGGCCAAGAATTTCGCCTTTGGAACGGCTTTGATTCAGATGCCGAACTTTTCATGAACAGAACCTAATGCATAAATTGTTATAACGTCTTTTGGAAGCCGTTTGACCGAAATGAGCAACTTTCTCCTTTTGAACTTAGTTCAGCTGCAATTATGATCGGCGTCTGAATCAATTCAGCCGGTCTAAATAATTTGGGTCGGCCTTAATTCGAATTACGTTCGGCTCATAGAAAGATCGGCGTCTGAACCGGGCCTTAGTTTGTACTAGGGGTAAAAAGACATAATTCGCTTTGATCCACGTAAACGTCCTGAACATCTAGTTAAACGTGTATGCATGTGTGTGTTTCTTTTTTGTAATTCAATTCATGATTCTTCTACTCACTGATTCTTTTATGTATCAGTCTTCAAATGTTTTACTTAAAATAGGCAGGTACACGGGGAAAGGGGAGCCAAAATGAAAACATGGACAGTATCTCTAATATTCTTTGTGGTAACAGATTGTTCTGTTTTCGGGTATCGTCTCCTTAGCACTAGAAAAAGGAAATCGTGACACTGAGACAGAGCATCAGAAAAAATCGTCCTCTGTTGAAACCTGCCCAATGAAACTCTATACCATGAACCAAAGTGAAAGAGAGGAATTTCAACACAACCTACAGTCTGCTCATGAGATCGCTTGCACCCTTGTTTATGAGGGTGGATGGTCACTGCTGAGACCTAAACCTCAGGTATACTAATAACTCTGTGCTTACTCACGGGTGTCTTACAAACCATGAGTAATTACACTTTCCCTTCTCTTAAGGGTTATCCAGTACCGGCAGATTCTACATAGTCTAGATGTAAAATAAATTCAACAATCATGAATTGGAGTAATCAAGATGACAAGAACAAACAGTGTTGCTGCTAAGGCCATATTCCATTCAGCGATCACTTACAGTCATTAATGATCGAAAGCCAAGTTAAGATGATGTGTGACAGAGGCAATGGGTGGGTAAAGGTCTCTAAAGATGGGGCGATCCAAAATGAAGGCCAGATCAATTTTGTGTTTGTTTTGAGTTGGACGTGACTGTTTAGAAACCTTCGTAACCGGCAATATCCCTCAAAATTCGCCGTTCGCAGCGACAAGAATGATAATACACGACATCAAGAGCCATTATGGCTCTTGACGACATTTCAGGCAAAAAAATGGTTTCTTTTGATCTTATGCAGGGATGGGTAAATATTCATCTCATTATATTATGATAATATAAACCCCTTCAATATATCCATACATTTCCTCGGACAGTCACTTGGTTTGTGTAAGCCCCTCTCCGCCTTACGCTCTTCAGCTGGCTCTTCAGCATCTCCCGTTGCTAAAATTCATGTTAATCAACTCTTGTAGAAAACAAAGAAACAATCAGGAGCTGTTGCACAGGAAAAGGTAAAATTTCAGAGATAATCATTTAAATTAGGTGGCACATAACATAAAAGCATTCGGAGTTTTTACAAACAATTAAATAAGCATCCCATGGGGTGGTGGTAAAGTTTGCGTACCTGATTTAGAAACGTAATTATGAGTGATATAGATCATGTTTCTTTTCTCAGATTACTGGGCTGGTTATTGCACTACCATGGTCTTTAAAAGCAGCCACAACAACTACTGATTCTGCGCAACACCGCAAAAGTCGTCTAACGGTCGTGGAGATACCACTAGATTCAAATGAGGAAGCGTTAGCAAAGTGGTGCAGGTAGATAATTGAAACAGAATGATGACAGGTTTAATATCCACATATAGGCTACCATTTAAACCATACGAAGATATTGTTACGTTTGTATAGGCTTTGCATGTCGGGGCTTTAATATTCTGCTTACCGACACAATTTACAGAGCAGTTTATAACATCGTTCTCTACTACTCAGGGCTGTCCATGTTTAGTCAGTATTTACTCGTAACTAGTCTCTCTCCCAAATACAGTGTATCGGCAGTCGTGATAAATATCGTAAGTTTATTGTTAGCTTTTTCTTGCACTTTGGTCACATATTTAAGGCAACCCTTTTTTCGATCTTGTCAATTTTAGGAAACTAGTGGATGATCTAATGGCATCTTCAACAACACGAAAAATCTGCTACGATGCGCAAAAGATAGCTCGACATTTAATAGAGACGCAAGATTACGATGTCAGAAAAGGTGATTTGACAAACTAAGAAGTTGACGATTACTTAAGTCATTTACTTCTCATACTATCATAGCCAAAGGAAGAAAAGCTAAAATCAACTCTTCAAACTATGGCGAGATCGCTCGGGGACCGAATGCTACTGCCAGTTCATATATATAGCTGTCTATATAACTTGCATTTCTACGTTAGCTTTTTTTCTGTCAACAATATAATGATAACTTTAATCCCATTGTTTTAAGTTTGTCTTCATTGGCGACTTCTTGATACAAAACTGGCTGCTTGGTTACTCAATCCGGATCATCCTCCTCAGTCCTTTGCTGAAGCACTCACATTTGTTCAACTCCATTCTCCAGAGGTACATGCTCATGTAAGCCACAATTCAAGAAGCTAATAAAAACATTGAATAAACCTTGTGATAAGGTGCAAAGCTTTTAGAAAAACATAACTCTGGATATGAAAAATCACTTATAACATTCCATGGATGGTAATCATTTAGAACTCTCATAAAGTTTTTCTCCCACCCAAATCAGTGTGCAGGTTTCACTATTTTTCCCTCTTTTCAGGTCTAATTACTTGTATTACACCCATACATATTTTCTAAAGCTACGTTACAGGTTTAATGAAAAGCGACGATAAACATTCATACGTTTTTTCTTTCACAGGGTGCACATGAGGATAATATGATTTGCGAGGACATTGCAATGCTTGGTCCTCTTATGTTGAAACAATTTAACAAGCTTAAGGTAAAAATTAGGGAATAAACTACGTGCGCAAATTATACAAACAAGCGGAAATTTTTTAAGCACGACTTATTTGTTCTTGTAGATGCTGTCGCTTTGGAACTTGTTTATCAATGTCGAGAGTCCGCTTTGCTCGATGCTAGCAGGTACGTAATGGTTGGTTAATTATCAGTTCATGTACAGCCTTCTGTTGTGCCAATCAGAGTGACATTGGGGGCTTCGAGGAGATTAGCCTGTTTAAGATAGCGGAGAGTTGCATGAAATGGAGAGCGGAGGAAAAAAAGCGCCGTGCCTACTAACGCCTGGAACAGTCTAACTGGAGATCGTTTGAAATGTCAATCGAGTTAATTTCCTTTATAATACTTGCAACGGCTGAGGGTTTTTTTCCTTGAACAAGAGCTCTCTTACTCAAGAGGGTTTCTCAACTAGTATTTATGCGTTCAACTGAATTTTACTCCTCTATGATTCAAGTTATGGAGATTCAAGGAATTAGCGTCGATTCGCAAGTCTTAATTGATGCGAGCAACACCCTTAAGGTAAATGACTTTTTTTCCACCTTTAATAGAACAATTCGTTATTATGAATCTCAATTATTTTAAGAACTTTTGAAGTCGATCGCGCGAAAGTTTTTTTTTTTTCCTTTTTTTTTTCAGATAAAAATACAAAAGGTCGAAGGAGAGGCCCATAAGGTAAGGTAAAAGTGTGGTAAATTAAACTAACAAAGTTTTATTTTCTAACGTATCGTAAAATGGCGTGCTCCACGCTGTAAATAGGTACTCCCTCTACACTAAGAAAATCTCTTTAAACCGAGAGAGTAAAAAAGCGGGATAGAATGAAAGAGAATAAGTTGAAGGTCGCAAGAGCTTCTGCCTGCCAACAAATTATCTCAACTAAACTACTGTCATCTTTTTTATAAATTTAACTATCATAGTTTCAGAATGGGAATGTGATGTCAGTGAAAATGAATTCAAATGTTCTATTGGCAGGCTGCAGGACATCCTTTTCTCATTAACAGTCCACAGCAATTAAGAGAGGTAAATCAAATCTGAATTCGTTCTTATTATTATTACGAATTTCGTATATTTATATATACTTAACGCCTATTTAACTTCATCTAATTTTCAGTCAGTTATAAAGAATATGTACTAAATCTTTGCATTTTTCTCTTGTTGTTACTCAGGTGCTGTTTGAAGAGTTGAAACTTGACCAACAGTGCAAGAAAAAGTTGGCAAGGACATCAATTAAAAATCAGAAGTCTACCTCAGAAGCTGTAGTATGTAAATTACACTGACTAAACTCCACTAAAATTCCTATGTGTTCTTCTTAGCTTAAATACGCCAACCAGTTTAACTCTGCTTTCAACCTTTCGCTACGTCGATCTATACAACTCAGCTCACCTGGTCGAACAGAAAAATAAAGGAAACATAAAGTTTGGCCGCTCTATCAATCATACCTATAACATACAAACATCACACACATACATACTTTTAGTAACAAGAGCATTTTCCTGTCCGAAAGATTCTTTTGTTTGGGTTTAAATAGACAGAAACAGTCTTCGTGATATGCTCATTGTGATAGAGGCTTCCATTGAGCTGAATGCCTAAGTCTTTAACAACTGGCACGACTGATATTTCTTTGTCAAGGAATGTTGTTCTGAATGATGGCAGTCTCTGCGGGACTTGTGACACTTCAACTGCCAGAACTTTGGTTTATATTCTAATCACACTGAAACGATTATAAAATATTTTGTAGCTAATCTAAATAGTCGTAAAACACAGAATAGGAGCGGGCATCTCGTTTATTGATGAAGCGACCGTAAAGCGTTACAAAAAACAGCATTACAGTTTTACAAACTCAGAGAAAATTACAACAGTAAATAAAATAAAAAAACTAGGGTTGAAAGAGATGCCTCGAATGGCTCTTGCATAGCTTAACAAACCTTAAATATTGTACTAGCCCCTTGAGACACCATACAAGCACTCCTTAAATACTTCAGCAGTATTATGCAACTTAACATACATACTCTTGTGAAACTAACAAAACGTTACAAAATATATTTTATCCGGGTTAATCAAAAGGGAATTTTTACGGTACCAAGAATTCACAAGTTTTATAGGCTGCTTAAATTTATCTTATCTTGCAAGTAAAACCGCCTTCCAACTCATTTTTAGTCGTTAAGCATTTTATCTATTTCTTTTCTAATCTTAACAGTTGCTTCACTTACAAGATCTTCACCCTTTGCCAAGACTTGTCCTACAATACAGACATGTGTGTATGAGTTCTTCTTACTAGACCTTACTAAATTAACCAATACGTAAATATATTTCAAAAACTCCTAGTCCTATGAGAATATGTCAGCGATCATTGACCATTCGAAAAAAAAATCTGCACCAAGCTTGTCTGTGATCAGGCTATCTTGCATGATGCTGGCAACTAACGAGTCTCATACTCGAGCTTACGACAACGCTCAGTGTAAGATCTCAAATTGGCCTTTTTTTAAGAAAACTTTACAGTTCATTCGAACGTGTTTGGCAAAGCACTGTTAACCATTTATCGTCATTTATATGTTTTTTTTTTTGTTTGCATTTTTGTGTTTTATCAACAGTTGGTGAAATTAAAGTCAACATATTTCGACGGAATTCTTTCTCATGTCAGTAAGGTAACTATATAACTACCTTCACTAGCTAACATCAGTTTAATACCTGAACCTGTGCCCCGGTACTGCATTGTTTTTTCGTGATCGTTTCCTAAATGTTTATCATTGTTTGTTTTTATCTCAGAGCGTTCTCTTTACTAGCTGGTAAGTGAGGCCGTTTGTGAATTTCAATTTATTGCTTGCCACCTAGTGTACAGCTTTTAAAAAAGATTCCAGGCATGCAACAAACAAAACAATGCAACCAAGTCTGTTCTGAAATGACACAATTTTAATTGCAGGGACCAAACAGCTGCTGCCACAGGACGACTTACCTCAGCTAATCCGGTACGTGGTGCTTCATTGCTATCCCTTTAACCCGGTCCCTAGGGCTTTATGCCCTGGACCAGTTTGACCCTCCTCACCTCCCTATATAAAATGAAAATCTCGTCCAAGTGCTTAGAGGTGTATTAAAGCCCGGTGTCTGTCTTTGAATCATAGTGACTTGAAATAAGCCCCTCCCATCCCATTATATTCACTCGCCATTGATTTAGCAGGAATATAATCCGCCCCCATTAAAGGCCGGAAGGAACTGAAAGTTCTCCAGACGCAAATACAGTTTTTATCGTACCCATTCACTTTCGATTACAATACTCTCGATTACAATACTATAAAGAGGATTTTGATGTGATCATTTTTTTCTCTTTTCGGAAAATAAAAAACAGAATCTCCAGGCTATACCAAAACAAGTGATCGAAGTTACTGGAATAAAGAAACAACTCATTGTAGGCAAGTTACAAATTTTAATAAAAATACACTTAATTTAAGAAGAGTAGGGCGAAAAAGTTACATAAACTAGTAAACTTCGGGTCAATAACAAAAACAAGGCGCCATAAGTAGGTATGAAGTACAAGTAAAAAGTGTTAATCGAACAACTTAACAACGAGGAAAATGCTATCTTTTTTACTACTTTACTGAGGCTTTGATTTGGCAATCTCGTACTTTTGTTAATGTTAATATTAATAGTGTTATAAGCATAAGTGAACGTTTGGTGGCAAACGACGACATACCGTAAGGGACCATTATATAAATGTACTATAAAAATAATATTGCAATAAGCATCCATATGATTTTTGGGTACAGGTTAATGTTACGTCCACGAATCGAAATGGTTAAAGTTTAGCAATCGGTATGTACTGCCTAAGAGCCGGAAAAGGAGTTCACAATGCCAAATTGTTTTTATATTCAAGGAAAACCAGAAGAAGTGATAACCATTAATCCTCGAGCAGCTTACAGGAGTCGTCTGGGTTGGTTTTTACTTGCGGCAGGTATTTCCTATGAATGTATCTTAGTTGTCTGGTTATGCTTCTTGTGGTTACATAACTAGAACTAGCTCTGAAACAATGAAAACCGTTCATCTGAACATATGATTCGTTTTCTTTGCCTGACGTAATGAGAAGCACCTAGCCAGAAATCGGGCCCATAAAACAAATGCAGTATCGATTTTCCTTTACTACTCTACACTTATTGGAAGCCTTTGCATGCGTTTAAATACGGCTCTAACTCTTTTTGCTCTCCATAGATTTTCAGTCCATCGAACTTCGTTTGCTGTCTCATGTGTCCGAAGATCCATCTCTTTTACATATATTCAACGACAAGGACAATGCAGATGTATTTACAACCCTTACTTCACAATGGTAATTGTGAAAGTGAAGAATGATCATCGCAGTAAATTTTCCAATTTAAGTAATTGGAAAGAAGAAGCCTGAAAAAATCAGGGCTTCAACGGGATTCGAACCCGTGACCTCCGCGTTACCGGTGCGTTGCTCTACCAACTGAGCTATGAAGCCCCACATTGGGAGCGAGGTCAATTTATTGAGTTCATATCTCCCGTGAGGAGTGAAATGATGTGAAGTATATATGAAATAGTTCATTTTCGAACTACGGTTGTAGATAAAAGTGAAGAATGATCATCGCAGTAAATTTTCCAATTTAAGCAATTGGAAAGAAGAAACCTGAAAAAATCAGGGCTTTCAACGGGTTCGAATCCCGTTGAAGCCCTGATTTTTTCAGCTGCTCAGCCCCTAACCTTTTAATTAGATGTGGAATGTTTCTCTTAAAGCTTCTTGAAAGCTATATTTACTGTTAGTCGCTTTCAAAATATATTGCAGCATTTGACTAAAGCTCTTAGAAGGAGATTTCACTAGTAGTGGTTACGTGCACTCCATAAAGGGCATTCCGAGAGTTTGGTCATTTATAAGATTTATTCCACTCGATTTATTTCACGGAGTCTACAAGCATAATACATTATCGTCCTCTTTTAAGATGTATCTGGCAGTTTTTTCGTGCATTTTAGGTTGGGAAAAAGTTGTGATGATGTCCAGTTTCAAGAAAGAGAAAGAACCAAACGAATTGTTTATTCTGTAATCTACGGTGTCGGTAAGGAAGATAATTCAGTTTTCAACTGAGATCTATATAGTTTACTGAAGCTGCGCTTTCCGTGCACTTCCGCTAGCTTCTGCTGGAGTTTTTTCTTTTATATATGCTGTTTGATTTTAGTTGGAAAGTACATCTTATTATCAGTAAAACAAAGTGCGTCATAATAGCATTTGCATGTTCGTCTGATTAACAGGAAGTGAAAAACTTGGTCAAACTCTTAAAGTGACTTCAGATGAAGCAAAGGGATTCATGGACAGTTTTTTAGGTATACCAACAATCGAAATAAATGAATGACAGTCTTCAGTTCGTTAGATTCTTAATAAGGTACCCTGGGCAGATAAAGGAATTGGCAGTGTGGACTGCGGCCACCCCTCTTTTTAGTGAAATTTTGTATTTACTATTATTTTCAAAGAATTTGCATTAAAAATAAATAACATCTACATAGCTGGCAATTGTCCCTGCCAGTCCCTTCTGAATTTACTGGATCCGCCCCTGGGTACTTCAATCGTACCTTTTATTATTATGCGTCAATCACCTATTATTATGCGTCAATCCATTTCAGGGCGATTTCCCCGAATAAAAGAATTTACACGTCGCAGTATTGATGGTTGCCGGAAGAACGGTGAGTGTAAAGCCCCTGATTATAGAATCTTAATACTGAAAGCACTGAAACTGTCAATAGCCGCCTTAGTGACCCCCATAGTGGCAAACGGAATTCACTTCTAGCGCGCTAATTATATCTATTGGTGCTCGAATGAAAGCCCAGTATGTGTGCACACATTCTTCATTTGTACGTGAGAGAGATATGATACTTTTCCTGAACGCTTATCAACTTTAAGTGTTCTTTTTACAGGATACGTCACAACTATTTTTAACAGAAGAAGATGGCTGCCACATATTAACTCTGTTGATTTTGCCCAGCGATCACAGGCTGAACGACAGGCTGTCAACTTCATTGTTCAGGGTTGGTAAAATACTTCAGAAACAAATTTTTGTTTCGTCAAACCTCGAGTATTGATGGAGCTTGTTAAAAGTTATTCCCAGCGAAAATATTTTTCAAGTGACTCTACGGAAGATACTGGTGAAAAAATTCAATATGCAGAAAAGGTGTTTACCAGACCCTTTCATTTTAAAACGGTTTCATTCAGAACGAATAAACAAGAGAACTAATATTGTACCTTCACTTCCTTCCTTCTCTCCTTCCCTCTTTGCTTCATTCCTTCCTTTTTTCTTTCCTTCCTAAAATATCACTAAAATATCAACCTTAAATTCCAAGGGTCGGCAGCAGACATATGTAAAGCAGCCATGATCCAGGTCATATCCTCTATAAGCGCGGATGCCCTCTGTTCACGCCAGGTAAAGTCTCAATAATTTGTGACATCGAGAGTGACACGGCCAGTTATGCTGCATTTCAAGTAAATTTTTGATTGCGCAGCAGATTTGACAAGGTGACAATGTAAGCGATATTCTTATTTCCTGACAGGCTGCTTCTACAGATACACGATGAACTCTTATTAGAGGTTCCTGAAGATGAAATCAACACAGTGACAGGTACAGTGAATGGTGCTTTTAGAACTCGAAGAGATCTAGGATTGTACATAGTGTTAATTTCATTGGTCGAATTCATATTAAAGACAGAAAACCGTCTTGGACGGGAAATTCGTCTATAGACGAAAAAATCCGTTAAAGACGAGTGGAGCCTCCGGTCTCAAATTCATCCGTCTATTTTTCCCTCTAAACCGACGGGACCATAAGAGGGGAAATTCGTCTTTGACGGAAGATCGTCTTACATTCAAATTAGACGTGAAAGTCAAGACGACGGTTTTGCACTTGCACCCAAGGAAAAGACTGGAACTAGAAACACAAACTTAAAGCAAGGGGCACAAATACACCAACCCATGGCCTGGCCAGTACCTCACGCATGCGCACAGCCATGTCACCCGGGCACTGGCAGCCATGGACAGCTGTTTCGTCCTTATTGGCGCTCATCAGCATGGAATGAAGTCAGCAACTGTTTCTGGGTAAAAAATGGCGCCCAAGGAGAAGGTCACAAGAAGCAGACGAGAGAAACATCAAAGTCTGGATGAAAAGAGGAACGAACACATGCGCTCATGGGCCGATTTAGGGGGCGGCCAGGTAGACCGCGGCCACTTCTTTTTCTGTAAAAATTTGTATTATTTTTAAAGAATTATAATAAAATAAATAGTATTTACATAGCTGGCGAGTGTCCCCGCCGCCCTTTCTCAATTTTCTGGATCCGCCCTTTGTAATTAATTTACCCTGATGTTCTTTGTAATACTGACAGTCTAGATCGCTTTCGGCTGTATCAGCTGTAAAACCATGCCTTGCAAAAGTAGGTTCATATCAGTCGGTATTTTCTCCTTCGGAATTCCGTCTGTGACGAGTTTCCCGTCTTCTAAAATGAATTCGGCCAAAGTTCAAATGATTATCCAAAAACACATAAATTTTTTCCGGGAGTTTACTTTCTTCGTAGTTGTATTTTGAATTAAAATTCCGATGACTTTTTTCGTCCTGGCTGAGATCGGCTGTACAAATGACTTTGCATTTAGAAACGAACGTTCACCAAATTACTCATGTGAACTAGATGGTTAGATTTTTTTTAAAACTTGACATTCGTTTCTGTGATTTTAGCAAGCGTGAAATCAATCATGGAGTCCACTGAGAAATTATGTGGTGGAAAAGTCAAGCTAAAGGTAACACGTCGTAGTTTATCTTACCGAATGTATTATTAAAATAATTCATAATAATGTAATATCATCATTTTGCATGGCCAACATCTATTAAAACTACTTGTTGGTTGGTTGATTATCCCCGTAGGTACCACTGCCAGTATCGATCAGTATTGGGAAAACATGGGGCCACATGGATTCCTTCTCTGGCTGACACTGATCTTTCCACTCATACACAGTGAGATCAAACAGGCTTGCCTAATGAACAGTGCCAAAGTATAATGTTCGACATTTCCGGGGACAACGGAAAATGCTTCTCAATCCAGTTGTTCTTGTTCTTGTTTGTTTGCTTTTTCAGCAAAAGCCAGTTTTTATTTCAGCAGCAAATCAGAGTTAATTTGCGGCGGGTGGATTGACTGCTATATTACAAGAGGGGATTTTCGAGCTCACGTTTCGAGCGTAAGCATGCCTTACGATATAACTAAAGGCACTGCACTACTGTAACATCTCCAATATGTTTTTCTTGAGTAATCAGGCTTTAAAAAGTAGTCTTTTTAAGGCCCTATAATGTCGCTCTATTTCTAATTTAAGTTAACACTATTGATTTCGATGGTAACGCAAGGATGATTTAATTTGAGGTTATTTTATTTGCCACTTGATACAGTTGCTGATTACATAGAACAAGAACAATCTTGCCATAACAATTATTGCGGTTAAGTTTGTTTGAAATTCAATTTTTACGCCCATCGAGTATTTTTTTGTACAAAATGCATTAATACTTTCTATTGGAAGGCTGGACGTTGTTCACTTAATATCCTCATCTAATTAAATGTGCTAAATTCTTGGATAAATAATTTTATAGTCGTTTATAATGCATGTTCCAAATAATCATTAAGTGGAAGTAAAAGATTTCCATTTGCTTGTTTTCCACTACCACGTAAGTGTCCGCTGTTAAATGAGAGAATTTTGTTGATAAAATTACTGAGATACTAACATGGCCAACTTCGAGCAACACAAAACAGCTCAACCGGCGATTGCAGAAGTGATTCATGGCTTTTCTTGAAATATTTTTTCTCTCTGCACAAACGGAAAAAAATCTTAAAAATCGGGTCAGATTCAGTTTTGAATTAGCGTTCTACATGTTCACGGCATGCAGAGTTTAGCAGTAGGTAATTTCAAAACGTCCCACTTTACATTTATCAGTTGAAGATAGATGATCTGGAAGTTCCTCCTTTTTAAAACAACAAACACATATCCATTCCTTCAAGTGCAATACAATTTCCCTGTAAGCTTTGCGATAATTGGAGCTTCGGAATGCATAGATAATCGGATTGACCGCTGCACTGCAGTACAACAAATAAGTACAAATATAAAGTAGTTTGGGCATTTTACAAGGAATGACAAATTCAACGATTACAAATGGTATGTAACACACAAAGAAACCAGTAACTTGGATTAGAAGAAGTTTGACAATCCTGCGTTTGGATTTAAGGTCATTCAACGGATCTACGTCTTCTCTACAAACGGTTTTACTGAAATACAGCTCTTTGATGATTCTAAAATAACAGAATGTGATAATACAAGTAGCTAGCGTAGTGAAGAGAATTACAAGCAGACCATATGCTTTTTTATCCAAAACGTATACGCACTGTTGTCCGTCATATTCCGCGTAAATTATCGTCGGCGTATTTAACAGTATACGAAACAACCACAAACCAGCGACAACTCTTTTTACATCGCCTTTCGTTAATCTCATCTGTGTATCCATTGGTTTGAGTAAAGCGTAGTATCTTTCCAGAGCTAGAATCGCCATCGTAGACGCTGAAACAAGAATGGATACCCCGCTTAGGTTGTTCATGGAGATAAATTTGCACATGAAATCTGCTACCTTTCCCAGATGATGGGGCAGTAAAGTAGCCACAACGAAAGGAATGCTCCATGTTGCAGTCCACAGACTAGCAACGGCGAGGTTAGCCAGTAGAAAATTTGTAGTGGTGTGCATAAACCGATTCCTTACTACTACCAATAGCACAAGGAAGTTTCCCAAGAAGGCTGCTACAATGAGAATACTGTAAAGCAATGCGTTTATTACAGAATTCAAAGCTTCCATACCTGTCTAGGAAAAAACAGTGGAAAAGTCCTTTTCCAAGCGAGCTCTTTTGTGACGGAGTCCCTGTGAATAAAGCCGATGCTATGGCAGAGTTATTAGAAACAGTGTGTTTTCAGCTGTAGGATTTCTTTACACTGTCCTTCCCAGAAATTTATTTAAGAAATAAAATTGAGATCAATTCCACCAATAGAGAGATAAGATTGGTGTTTAAAGAAAACGGCAAGCGTCAATTTCAGATTAACAGTCTTTTTAAATTAGGAAATTAGCACATTAAAAAATGTTCAAAATCTTAATTCTATCGGATAAAACTGACATAAAACTATCAAAGATTTACTGTATATTTATAATTTTGTGTTGACCGAATGAAAAGTAAACGAAAAGTAAAGAGAAACCTTGGCCATGTGACACTGGACAAGTTTTATGGAAATATGATTCTGAATCTGTCTATTATAAACCAAATTTAATGATAATTAGCTCTGTCGATTGTTTATAATCTTTGCGTTTGGTGGACATATTGTGTTGATTATTACAAACTTACTTTGCATGGACCTAAGCGTTTTCATTTGTTAAAGTTTATAATGCAAATGAGCCTATCAGAGGAGACAAAATCTCTTCCTGCCTTAACAATGTTTGCCTACCATTCCTTAGCTCAAAATATAACGATTGTTTTAAGTAACGATCTCAAGTGATCTTAAGCTAACGATCTAACTTGGTAATTTTTTCTGGTCAGTTGTCATGGTCCCCGAAAAGGGGTGACACTTCATGCGCCTGTATACACAAGAGGATCCTCTTTCAAGTTTAAGAACCGCTGAGTACGAAAACCTATCATAAAGTCAGTTTTCCAGCCGTCTAGGTTAACTCGAAACTGTTCTAGTGACTAATTTAAGTAGCCTAATGTATCGTGGAAATGTGTTTTCAAAGATGACCAAACGTTTATTATAATATCGCCACTGTTGTGTGCAGAGTAGGTTTATACCTCCTAGGGTAGGCAACAACTAGTTTTGTGAATGCTTTTAGTTAGTAACTTAAGTTCTTGAACAGAGATTTAACCTGTAAGTCCATTAAATATTTAGTTGTCAAGCTATACATGAAGAGAAGAGGAGGCTTTTTCCTTGAGGGACCAAACTGACATATAAACCGGATTATCCCGAGCGGGAAAGATTGGGCACATCTTGCCCGCTCAGCTACTGCTAGGGTATTCATTCAATCAGTCAGAGCACAGGATTCTCTTCAACTTGCGCCCTCGCGGTTCAGCTATACAAAAATATATAATTTAAATTATGAACAATTTAACTAAAATAAACACGATATCGAAACTTGGTAGCCAGTGAGGTCTTTTCAGCGTTCAATGGTGTGATGGATGTAAACACGCTGCTATTGGCTAACACAGCTAAATTAACAGAGATAAACCTTGCAAGAAATTCGATGGACCTAACCTTTGCGAAACAAATAGGTATTTAAGCAGTGATCACTGAACACACATAAGAAGTAATATGAGCACAATCTTTCAGCTGATCTCAGAACAGCTGATCTTACAGCGAAGGTAACTATAGCCGATACTCTTGGCTTGTTTTTACGGTCTAGCGCTTTTAGATTGTTTCAAGTCAGATACGCCTCATAGTTTCTCTTTTTCCCGCGTGGATCCTCAGGTGAAGAGTTCAATTTCTGCCAAGTTTTAAAATCAGATACAAAGAAAACCAGGGTGTAAGGATTTTGGAGTTTCATTTGTTTTCCACTGTCAATGTTCCTGTTTATCAAATTTTATGGTGATTTCGAAGATCTCAACAGAACCCAACATTATTAAGGTTCCTGCGGCCCAAATCTGACATTGTATTTTGTGTAGTCACCTCATGTCATTAGAGAGATTAAGATTCACGTTCACGGCAAACGGCAAACGTCACATTCAAGTTGAGAATTTCTCAGAATAGAAAATAAGCAGATAAAAACAGTCCAGAACAATTCTTATGTATAAAACTGGCGTGAAACTACTTATTTTTTAGTTGAAGTAATAAAAAGTTAACGACAATAGAGAGAAAAACTTGGTCACGTGGTACAAATTCACCTTTGCCGTTTGGCGTAAGCGTGAATCTTAATCTCTCTATTGTAAAAAGAGTTTGTTTTCTGTGATAAAGCATTCAGAATGAAACAAGTGCAGAGAAATATTTTACTTCATAGCAAATGGTAGAAAGAACCTTGTACTTAGCCTGCGCCGCGAGCATTGTTTTCGTACCATCCTGAGTCAGTATCAGGCTGGCATTCCCTAGAGGTAGATTGCCCCAGGCGTTCAGATAGTGGAGTGCGGCGCGAAGTCAGAGAGAGCGGGAAAAGATAAAGTAGAAAGAGGGAGAGAGGAGGGAACTTTCCTTCGCTCTCACACCCTACCTCACCCCTTCTCCGATAATTTCCTGCCCACTTTTCTTTGTCCTGGAACAGGCTATCTTTAGGGATTATGTCAGAATCAATTCCTCTTTTAGTGAGCTTATTTTAAGAGTTACTTCACAAAAGGAACAATCCGCAGTCTTTATGATTTGTCAAAGTTACTACCAAGACGAGAACATACAATCCGATTGACAAGCATTTGAACAGCTGCTTCAAAGTGTATCCTTGAGGGAAAAAAAAGGAAAATAAAATTCATCAATGTTTACGGAATATTTTTGAAAAGTAGCGAGAGCATTATATTTCCATTATAACATTCGTGCAGATGTGTTAACATACTGTCGAGCACAATTCTGAAAGTCCGTCATAAAGGAAACCGCCCGGCTCAACAGTTAATCCACAAGTTCCTTCCTTGTCGGTTCAACTAGGTCATGATGAAGACCGGGCTCATCTTTTTTGCAGTGATTTGTTCTGCCTATGGTAAGTATAAATGCAACTACTCGACGTACGAAGCAATGCTACACTATGTCAAATAGCTCTTTGAAGAATGCAACATCTTGATCGTGACTTCTAAGTCACCCAGCTCTTCAGCTAGACGCCATCAAGCAATAGGCTCCTGACTCTATCAAATCTAATTATTTTCATTTTTCCTGTCCAACGATGACAAGAAGTGAAAGAAAAACAGAATAGGGCTTTAAAATTATTGATGAATCAATAGAAACCGATTAAAAGTAAGGTATTGTTAAATGAGAGGTGATTTTTCCCGAACCTTGATCTAGTTGTGAAACATTTCAACGGAAAATAAAATGTATCATCAAAAACCCTTCCCCATAGCTAACTGACTTTTTCTACCTAATACCTTTTTTATTCAACCTTTAGGTAACTTGAAGTCTCCTCGTCCACCAGGCTTCACTACACCTTTCACAGAGAATTTCAAATCACGTTCATCTTTGCAGGCTGGAGGTACAGTAACAATCAACTTCAAGGTTTAAAAGTTTCTTTGATATAAATGAAAAAATGTTTGTTTGGACATTAAAATAGTTACTTGATGCTTGGGTATCGTGCTTTGAGTCGTATTCGATTGGAGAACTTGACGCTTGAACTGCTATTTCCTGAGGGCTACTATATATTAGTATATTAAAATCCAACTAGTTGGTCAAAAATATCTAGACAACACAACTTCAGTTAGTTAAAGCTAGACTTTAATCCTTTTTTGCCCGCCAAGAAGCCGGCGCTTTTCGCTACTAGTGGGCTATGACATATAGGCTAGTAGTAGCTCAACCAATCAGAACGCAGCATTGATAATAGACCAATAGTACGATTCGGCCTTCGGCCTCATAGGCTATTGACTCACAGCGCATTCGGGCTCGAGGAATAATATTGTTAATTAACCAATAGTGATATGAGAAGAAAGTAGTTGTTTCTAGCCAGACTGTGCGGGATTGTAGTAGCTGCAGGGAAAAAAGGAGGACTCGGGATCGGTAACTTTGCCCACGTGTTACTGGAAAAGCAAGGAAAGAGCACTCGCCTCCAAACGTCTCTTTTCGTACCTCACAGCAGGACGACGCCGTACGACGCCATATATGGTTTCGCAGTTGATTGCTGGTCCGGGTCCGAAAACTCCCATCGTAATATCCAAAACAGCCACTTCTATTATATGTTACTACTTAATTATTGTTTTAATTTTAATAATCATCTAGAAATCAGAAATTACCGAATAATGAAGCAAAAAAGGATGAATATATACGATTTTTTTGCTTTTAGACGTAGTTGAAGGTGATATTATGCTGGACAACAGGAACGCAGCTCTTTACAGAGGAGAAAGAAACGCCATGAAGAATGTTAACCTATGGCCTAAAGGGGTAGTACCTTACATTCTGGATTCAAGTGTTGGTGAGTACTAACACTATTAAGATAAGGCTTCGCAAATTGGGGCGTTTGATAGGAAGCAAGAACACTAGAAAAAAATTTTAAAAATGGTTTGAAAAATACAGCAGGGGACTGAAAAACTTGTTTAACAGTCCCCGCCCTTAGTTCACTTCCCACTTTGTTCAGTTCAGCCTTATGTCTACCCCGTTTTCTCACTTTCTAATTTCTCGAATCATCTTTGCTTTCACAATCAAAATCAAAGCTGTCGACTATGCAAAGAATATAAACTCAGAGACTTATAGAAGTCAGTCCGTCGAGGCCGTCGAAGGAAACTTGAACATGCGAGAGAGGAAAATGTCAGGGAGACTGAGGCGAAATAAGAGACTACTTGCGGTTAACTTGCAGTCTAACGGAAAGGTCCCTCGTTAAAAAAACTACGTCTCGCACGCCCGTTAACTTAAATACATTTGAATGTAAAATTCCTGTTACGGTGCCAAATGTTACAAATTATGCGACTTAATTGAATGAAAAGATCACTGCAAAAGCGTGAAAGAGTAGATTAATTTTCCGGGGGTGGAGGTTAATAGGTAGCTTTTCTTCATTACGGTTACTCAATAGCAAATAACAAAATTATTACAAATTAGAACTGGGATTTTTGTGGTTATTTCAACTTTACAGTCAGAAAATCGGGCAAAGTATATAGACAGGCGCTCATTTTTTGATCACGTGATGGAGTTTTTATCTGAAAAAGATGGCTGAAGAATGATCTATTTGTCATATCAGTAGAATGTGAAGTGCTCGTAATGCAAGGCCGGCATTTGACTCTCAATCGTACTCGATGCAATAATTATACTGATTTTGGGGTGCAGATGATCATTTGGCATCCCAGATCGCTGAAGGAATCAAGGAGTATCACAAGTACACGTGCCTGCGGTTTGTAAAGAGGACAACTGAAAAAGATTACATCAGAGTGATGAAGCCAGCGTCAGGGTGAGTGCAGTAAGAATACCTAATATTACGCAGTATCTCAAAAGAATGCTGCAGTGCAAAAGAACTTAAACCCCGCGATGAAGGACTTTTTATAGGAAATTTAGACCCCAAGGTTCTAGCCAGTGATGGCTATAGCCTGTGCAAGGCTCTCAGATAGTGGGGACGTCGCGAAATAAGCCAAGCGAAAATAAGACGCGCATGATAAAGACAAGGGCTGCGTGTTTGTCGCATCACTTTTTACTTTATGACTCCCTAACTATCTTGGAGCCTGGAACAGGCTAGTAAGGCTATACTTTTGCTACTCATGGAACTAAGATTTAGGTGAATTAAGTAGTGAAGTTTCAACTCCTAATTTTTACCATTAGGTTTCCTGACCTACATAAACACGACACATTATTTGTATTGTAATTTTCAGGTGTAACTCAATGGTGGGTGCTGTTGGTGGAGAGCAAATTCTGAACATGGGCGATGGATGTCAGTACGTGGGTCTTGTTCTTCATGAATTTGGACATGCGATCGGCTACTATCACGAACACAACAGACCAGACCGTGACGATACAGTAGAAATCATGTGGGACAACATCGTGTACGGTGAGCTAGGATATAAATCAACTTGTTATTTTACTTTATCTCGGCATCCGTGGTTGGAATAAAGTCTTAGGTTGCAAGTCAGCCTTATATATTTCGCTACCAAAAACACAGAAAGGTGAACGACGTTTTTGCAAAAGACAAGACAAGTGTTCTTATATAGTCGAAATCTGCGAACATTTTTTAAGCTGACCTCAGACCTTTTCTGATATTCAGTACTGAAATGAAGGTAATTTGGTAGTTTTTGGTAATTCAAATTTTTCTTTCTCATCGCAGTCATCGTCACTTAAGTTTTGCAGTGCATATTTCCCATCATATCATAAATTTTCAGAACTGGTATGACTGTAAGAAATTTTGGAATGCTCATTCGAATCTCGGTTCTCGGAGGCTCAGCGATATTCAACCCGGCCATTTCTTTGGCTTTATGTATATAATCCTTTTTTTTTTTTGTAAGCCAAAGGTTTAGTTCGAAGGAAGTTGAAATGTTCCACTTTCAAATATTTAGAGCAACCCCTAGTAATGGTACTGACTGTTAGCTCAATTGACGGAACTCTTGTCTTTTCATTGATAATAGGTTTTAAGGACGCTTTTTACAAATACACTTGGGATGAAGCTGATGTCCAGGGCTTTAAGTATGACTTGACCTCTATTATGCACTACGAGAACTCGGCCTTCACCAATGGCTATTGTCGCCCGACCATGTTAGTGAAGAATGACTATTCTTATGAGGTGACACCCGTTTATTTGCGGAAATTCAGCCCTCAAGACATTCAGAAAATCAATAAGCTTTATAACTGTCAGACTACCCAGCTACCTCCAACGGGTAAGCTAAGATCTTTTGACTTGCAACAACGTTTACAGTATAATGTTCATTGTTTAGTACCTCAGTATACGAACCTGATACTTAGCTTGGTAACTGGTTACTTTCCGACTTTAAGTCTTTTACAACATTTTATTGTTGGTTGTTTTCGTATATTTTAACTGTCTAAATGTATTCTATTTTATCCATTCTTTTAGTCTTACCTGGCAGCGGAAATCCCGATCCATCTCGTAAGTTTGTATCTCTCATGCAATCAAATTTCTCCTAAGTTTTATCTTGGTGCAAATATACTCACGATGACGGTGAGGAAAAAGCAAGCTATAACTATAACTAGTTCATTCTGAGTGACGACATTCGGCGTTATTGTTATCATTATTTTTCCTCTGTCGAATGTCATATCGAGTGCGACTACTCCTTTCCCTTCAAAAGCTTTTTTTCTGCTGGAAAACTGAATCAATCAAAAATAACCTCAGGAGCATAGTATATGTAATGACCTTCCACTATAACAATCTTCTCATTTTTTCCCGTTACTACAGAATGCAAATGCGAGGATAAATACAATGACTGCCAGAGTTGGGCCAACTCAGGCGAATGTGGCTTAAACCTCAACTGGATGTCTACCAACTGCCCCAAGAGTTGTAGAACGTGTGGTGGTATGCCATTATTATATTTAACTGGCCTTTGATAACTGTATGTAAAAACGGAAGATCAAGCCTATTCTCCAATTTATTTTCTAGAATATCACTTTACATTACTTATTTTATCAAAATGTACATCGAGATGCGAGGTTTTTCCGGTTGTAAGGAACCTTGACACAACAGATTAAAATGAAATTCACATTCATATCGTCCATTAAAGAGAAAACGAGTTCATCTTAAACTGCTTTCCAACGAGCCGTTGAATCAATCCGTTCAACCAATCAACTCTGGCTGCTATCAGACATATGTCTTCCAATTAATATTGATTTAGGCCAGGTTCAGACGCCGTACTGTACACCTGAGCTGAGTCGAATTCCAATTTCAGAGCTGACTCAAATTAATTTAGGCCGGTTTGGTTTAGCTCATGGGAAGTTCGGCGTCTAAATCTACGCCTCCACGGCCGTTATTCCTGGCTGGGCCAGGTGTGAATAACGGCCGAGGTGATCCAAATCCAATTAGCCGAATTTGAATTGATTCAGACGTTGTACCTCACACGAACTTAATAAATTACCAAAGTGCGTGAACCTCCAGTCCCACTTAGTCCTTTGATTTATTTTGATTGACACCATTTTCTTTCTATTGCCTTGCAGAGCCACCTTCAGGTGGGTGAGTTCAGTGTTTTTATGACGAAACAACAACTGTTGCCCCTTATTAGCTTATCTCAAGTAACTGTGCCATGCACATGCCATGCACTAAAGTCTGAGCCTAGATAGACAGTTAACTTTAAACCATGATAAAACTAAATTTTAAGCAAAATTTTCCCGTGTACTAATATTTTAATTGAGGATTGCCCAGTCTTTATTCAAAGACCCGAGTTTGGCGTCAAAATCTAAACAAAAAACCTGTAGAACTTTATAATGTACCAGGAAAAGTTTCTCCACCAGAAGGCTACACGAAAATGCCAAGGTGCTTAGAGGTGATATGTTTTTTCATTTGCTGGAGTTAGACTGTGCAGATTTATATCCTGTGGCGTGTGAGAGCTGGGGCCAAGGTGGAGAGTGTCAAAAGAACCCTCTGTGGATGAAAGAACATTGCAAAAGGACATGCTACCAATGCCCAGGTAAACAGCAGTAACCTATTTTATTATTTATGATACATCATCCTCTTTTTTGTCATTCTCCAGGGATATTAACCTAATCTGCCATTAAATTTAGAACTTTTCAGACTTTTTAAGTTTACAAAGATGATAGGGGGGCTGTTGGTAGTTTTCTAGGGATATCCCGTTTCCCTTAGGAGGTCAAATCTATCGCACAGGACAAAATGATCGTTATTTTACTGAGACAAAAGTCGTCCAAAATAGTTATTCTTACAAATAATATCAAAAGTAACATTGAAGCTAAGCAGAGCAAGCAATTTGAATAGCATTGACCTGAAGTACAAGGTGCATCTTACATTAAGTTCTTTGTCATGATCTATAATTATTCTTTTTCTCTATTCCTGTAAGTGGCGATTGACATACTGTATGCTTATGATATAATAAATTGAGCAAGCACGTCTACTGGGATTCTAAATCACACGAACTCAGACCTAACAGCCATCTTTTTATCATCTTCAAGGCCAATCGACACCACCACCGTATACAGGACCTACTACAGAACCTGTTTGTCAAGATAACCACGCTAGTTGCCCGAACTGGGCCAGCTCTGGTGAATGTGGTCTCAATCTTGAATGGATGTCTGTTAACTGTGCAAAGAGCTGCAGGACTTGTGGTGGTAAAATGATTATCTCATGATTCTTCATAAATGCGCGTTTAAGTTACATCAAATATTTTGTTGAAACAAGAGGCATTGGTAAAGCTTGTGGCCTCTGTTACTCTTTATAGAACAAGAGACTACGGGCTAGAGAGTAAAAAAGTATTTGAACGGAATACAATGCATATTTTACGAATATGCATGGATTCGTTTCTCCTAAGTCCCCGAACTTTTGGAGCTTGATCTTTTTTAATTTGTTCAATTGTTTTATGACTGAATGATAATTTTGGTTAAGGAAAAAACTTGAGCGTTTCAAACTGAGTCCATTTTTTTCTTCTTTACATAATATTTTTATACGCACTGTGATTTTGATTTCTGCTTCACCATCTACTTAGATGCTTGCTTTGTTTTCTTGCAGAGCCCCCGTCAGGTGAGTGTTTTTTTTATTTCTCTATGTAACAGTATAGCCTGCGAGAAAATCCGTTTTTTTCGGCTCCAGGTACTAGTTTCACCCGGAGGAAGAGAAGCGACGACCGGAAATACGTCTGCGGTTCGCAGGCTAGTAACAGTTAAAATAACTTCTGTATTGCCGCAGTCAAGGTTGTTTTAAGAATAAGTAGTGCAGCGTTCTGCAGAACCAGGTTTGGCCAAAAAAAGGACTCGAGGAAACATAAGCTAAACAAAGGTGGTTACCAAGCAATGAAGTAGTTGACATTACAGAACTATTACTATCTTACGGAGTGTGTGTTGCACCTATTTTTCCTTTGGTAGACTGCAAAGATTTATACCCCGTAGCATGTGAAACATGGGGCCAGTCCGGTGAGTGTGACAAGAACCCAGGCTGGATGAACACCAATTGCGAGAAAACATGCAAACAATGCACAGGTTAGCAGTTTTAGATTAAAGTAATCAAATTTTTGCATAAGCCAGCAGCAAACAGTATTATTTTTTTTCTTTTATAGTATTAGTATTAATGAGATAATTATACAATACTTAGTGAGTTTGTCTGTATGCACGTGACGGATTTTCCCCATTGCATGAAAGTCTTCTTTCTTGGCCTGGTTCCCAGTCTCTACACGGATAGGAAGAGGCAACGCCCTGAATTTGAGATTGGATTTTTTTGTAGGTCAGCTAAACCACCAACTTGTTTCTAACGACCTGTTTGCAGCTCCCCGAAACTTAAATGTTTTAGCGCCGCAATTTAAAATCTGGTCGAATTTCTTCATAGTCCGATTTCCTCAACAGCACCCGGGTCTAGCTTCATAATTCAAAGCTGTAGTTAAACTTTTGTCGGTATTTTTGACTATTTTCAAGGTGGAGCAACTAAGCCACCCGTTCCTGGTAGCACAGAGGCACCTACTCCTCGTCCTCCAACTCAGCCGCCACAACCTACCACTCAGCCAACTGGAGATTGTAAAGATGTGTATCCTAAGTATTGCCCTGAATATAGGAACAACGGCTGGTGTCATGATGCTAATTATCAAGATTACATGAAAGAAGTCTGTTTTAAGACTTGCGGATATTGCGGTGGTTAGTATTTCAGTGTACAGTCCCCTCGGCTTTCGCTCGCCTCGCTCGATTTCCTCGCTCGCGCTTTCCTCGCTCGCGTGACCATCCCAAGGGACTGCTCGCAGTCTACCAGCATAAAGGATAAATTGATTCATTGTTTGTTTGTTCTTTGCAAGTTTTATCTTCTTGGGGGTGAATAAAACGACGACGCAAATCTTGAAAGGGCCATTTTAAGTCGAGCTTTTGGTATATACCCATAGTCCTTCTTTGAGAGGTCGAGTTCCTTTGTCTGGACCGTGTATATTATAACGAATCAAAGAAAAAATGCGGCGCGTGACGCTGCTCAGCTCTTGAACATTTCCTTGTCCCCATTTCTAATTCAAATAGATAAGCGACATAGCAGATTGTAAACAGCATTTATTTTATTTACTTCTGGTCTTTTGGTTAGGAGGAGGAAACTGTTTAGATGTATACCCTCAGTACTGCCCAGGTTACAAAGAAAGTGGCATGTGCACAGACCCCAACTACCTTGATTACGTTAAAGAGGTCTGCAAGTACACCTGCGGCTTCTGCAGTAAGTCATTTGTTTGTTATTCGGCCACGATTTCAGTCTCATCAGCTTTTAAAAAAGAAGCCAATAGTAGTCAATCACTCCTAAAATCAATGCCAGTTTATTGGTACTAAAGGGTTTAGCGATTAGTAGATGTTTCGAACAGTTATTATAATATAAAGCTATTTCGAGAAAGGTTGTCGCAAAAAATGTGCACGCGACAATCCCGAAAGGTAATATGGGATATGGTCAATACACTGTTCCTGACCTACTGAGCTGTTGAACCTACTTTTGTTGCTTTCCTTTAGCACTCACAAACATACTTCCAAGGCCTCTCGTGAACTCAAAACCACCCACAATACCTTTCGGGATTGTCCGACAACCTTTTTTCGAAATAGCTGTATAGATTTAGCCAAGGCCAAAACCGAATCTCTCGAGGGATGTTTTAAGAAATGTCTGTCTCAAGTAATTCAGCTTTTGCCGTAAGCAGAAAGTAAACTGAATTCCACCTTTGAAAAATCGACCTAAGCCCGCAATCAATTGAAAACCAAAAACAGGTCAGCCGAAATCTTTAAAAATATACCACCTCCATGAGTTGTAGACCTAAGCCCGCGATACAGTCATGCGACACTGGTGAGCGGATACCCGTTTTTGACAGCTGGCAATTGACCATAACATGGATGTCCAATACCAAGTTAAACACACACATATAGTACGCCTTGGACTCCTAGCCAGTATTAAAGTGTGCCATTTCACATCCGCTAACATGAAAGGGTGGACGTACGTACGGACGATTATTTCTTGGGGGCATAGATAACAAAATTTTCTTACTCATAGCACTCGGCTATAAAGTCCCTCAAATAGTAGTTAAAAAGCTAGCCCAAAATACATTTAGTACTGGTAGCTTTGAACAGAGTGCAAGGGCAAATCACGAGCCATAAAAGCCAGACTATATTAATAAACGGTGAACAAAAGGTTCTGAACAGTTCAATATCTACACTGAGTTTGAGTAGCTTAACGTCGTGCGCCGGTCGCGCCGGGTAAACAATTGTCCAGTAGGTGGAATAACAAATTTTAGAATCTAACTAACGGTATAAGTACAACAGGCTCCAGTTGTTCAAAAGGTGGATAGCGCTTATCCAGCGGATGACGCAATTGGTTTCCCTTTTATTTATCAGGTGTTGTTCACTATAGAATACTGCACTAACACCAGAGCTTTCACTCGGTTGACTTGGGACCAAAAGCTCTTAAGCGATTGAATTTGGCAAGGAAGGTACCCACAGTGTCTCATTACACGGACACAGATAATATTTAGACTATCATTTTACCATTTTAGATTTCATTTGTGGTATAGACGGCCTCCACAACCTTTTAGCTTTGACGGTCACCGTGTTTAAATAAAAGTTGTTATTGTTATTGTTGTAGTATGAACATTAACGATTTGGTTTTACATTCGGGAATGTATTGTTCTTCCCCTATAGGCTGAATTTCTTTGGTAAGAAGTTAACAGAAACACGATGGATGGAAAACGAGTCCAGCATGCTACGGCAACTAAAGGAGACATTACTGTCAAGGGACCAACATTAGAATGTAGTTGTTTAGTTCTGGATAGAATTTAAACTGCCAATAAAGAAATTTTCTTCTTGTGCAATGCTCTTTCTCCAAACCCTCTGGGATCTTCATGCGTTGGGAACTCGTAAAGTACTCTTAACTTAATTTCATAAAGACCCAGTCATAGATCACTTACCTGAAAAGGTTGTTCATGAGAACAATTGGAGTTTATTTCAGTCTGTTCAGTTTTCATGCGTAAGGTGAAAGAAACTTACTTGTAGGCTGTGGGTACTCCGATTTTTCTCCGTCCACAAGAGGCGTTTCTTACCAGATTAGGTATTCTGGGTTTTTGAGTCACCAGAGACTGTAAAGTCCTACCCCTTTTACCTTTTTAAAGTATTGTACAGTGAGACAAACGATAGATAATCCTTCGCTCCTGCGCCGTTTGGCCTTTGTCTTGGTTTACAATGGCGGCTTTACTCTAGTGATCACAAAACAAAGCAAGTATACCGGCTGAGTAATAAAACAACTATTGAACTCGCATATATCGCTCGCCTCGATCCTCAGACTTTTCAGGTGGAAAATTGTTCCAGATGCACTGCGACTATGCTTGCATGACTGAAAGAATGCATGCTGCAGCCATGATGTTGACTGGATGTTTTGTGGTTGCACCTTGAAGGCAAACCCTGTAGCAAATCACACTTGTGGCACTTCCCTATTGTAGTAAAAAGCTTTCTGTGGGAACGATTTTTTATTGACCTAAATAACAAGACTAATGATCGGAAAATTATACGGTATTCTAAGGACTGAATACCAAAAAGGCCAGAGAAACAATTTTCAATAGCTGTCTGTGAAAAGGTTCTTCCAACATCTTTTATTGGCGGTTTCACAATGAAGTTCAGTGTAACTTTCATATAAAACTTGGCCAGCTGCATGGTGAAGAAATGTTACGTATCCAGAACTTCTCTACTCCAGAGCACGTTGGGTTGACGTGGTTTTTGGTAAGCTCTCATTCTGCACTGGCCGAGTGATACCAAAACAAAAAAGCTAATGTAACATTCCCTTTTTTGTTCGTGGTATCACTCGGCCAGCGTAGTGGAGGCCTATTTTCATTTGACCATGTTTGGGTTGTTTCCTTGGGCTCTCCAAACTGAGTTTACAAAGTAATAAACTAGGTCAGCCCATATCTGTGTTGTATTGATTTACCGCTATTGAGAATGATCGGAATAAAGTAAAATTTTCATAAACTTTTAACAGCGCTTTCAATCCGAGACGCAAAATGACATCGTCTCCAAATTAATACAGCGAAATATCACGTATCTTAAAGCAATTATTATAGCTACCGTTGTAAGCTACACTTGTAATAGTTTTACCAAATTGACCCCACTGGTCGGCTATTTTTTTTATTACACAAATATTAATATTAATTTATATTGAAAATATCTGATGTTTGCGGGGTGAATACAGATGATGATGATGCCCCCAGTCGATTTTTCAGCGTTTTGCATGAGGTATTTTCTCAGAAATAATAAATTCTGTTCAAGGTAAGAATTATATTTCCCATCTAAACGTAGGGGTCAAGTGCCTCGTGTTGCCTCTTCCTAGTCAAGGCGCCGCTCTTAGTTTGAGCCGCAGTCAATCATAGCAATGAATATAGAAGGACGAAAATGAAATTTACGTCCAGTGTATCGATTCTCTCGTTCAACTGCTAATCTATCGCCAAAATCCCAAATCCATGTGTACCTTTGAACTCCAAGTCCATCATTTTACGCTCACAGAACTACACTGGGAAAAAACGGGCTGGGGCAGGTGTTCGACTCACTTACAATGGGAATTGTTTTCGGACCAATCAGAAGCCAGACAGCTGTGTTACGCGCGGTGGAGTGCGACTCTTGCTTCATTTTGCATCTCCTTCCAATTACGAGTGAGATAAATGTGATGAGCTTTGTGTAATCTTCACTCGTTAAGCTTCATTTTGCATTGTCTCTCCTGATCTCACTTCGTGGACGTTTCTTGGAAGGTTACGACTCATTTTCGAGCTATGCTCGCCTCGTTACTCTGAAGGCAAACTTCGCGCGGTTTTAACTTTCATATGCATGGCTTTCCGTATCCGTTGGCGATTCTGGTATTCTGGCGAAGTTCGACGCTGCTCAATCATGTTGGCTGCACGTCAAAGACGACCTTAAAACAATCGACTTCCAGTAATAATGTCCAATCCGTCGTTTGGAGGCCCAAGAGATCGTCCAAGTAAGTTATTGCGAATTGTCTCTTTGAATATCAGAGCTCTCTTTGTCTTGCTAACTCAATAGCGGATGTTTAGCGCTGGCTTGGCAATTCAAGTTTATATAGTTTGACGTAGTAATTTTTGTATAGCTGGACATATTTACTTTGCATTTCAACTCATACGAGGGGTAATGTTATTCGGAGTGGCGCGCGCGTTGAAAATTCGCCGCTGTGAGCAAAACGACAAGCGATGTAATCATTTGGAGTAAAATGAACAATATAGGCTTAATCCGACGCAGATAATACGGTTTCGATAAAATTACTCCGTGAAAGATTTTCGGTTATCACGATATGTACAAGCAAAATCGCTAACATTTCTTTTGTCTTATCTGTTAACAAGAATTTTCAAATGTGATCGTTTCAACGTTTTGTTTTGAAAATTCGATTTGCCGGAGGATTTCCTCAGGCAAATCTCCTCTGATATTATGATTAAAAGCTTAAATTAAAATTTGGCAAAGCTGCGCTCTATTGAATCGTTTTTGACCCAGTTCATATTGTTGTATGTCTTTGCAAGTGACCAAATTTTGTGAATACTGTAGATGGGTGCATGCTATGATGCTATCGGGCTAAATGCACTAAACTAAAGGCATGACTTGTTAAGGTTTATAAGTACTGTATACATTAATTAGTAACTCTGCAAGCGCAAGCTCACACAGTGCCCTATTGTTTTCACTTCATTTATAAACCAAATAACATTGTAGGGAATTCGGCCCATAGCAACAAAATCATTATAACTCTGGATAACAGATTTGAGTAAATTAAACGCAAACATAAGAACTGTAGATGGTCTCTTTTTTTACCTTTTTTCAGAGCAGAACTGTGAACATGCATGCAGGTTTTGCAAAGTAAGAACCGCTTAAAAACCAAATTGACAACTGCTTAGCAATTTCTACACTGTAGAACTGATCTTTTATAGCACATTTGTGGTGTGTAAAATAACAAAAAATTAAAATGACCTCACACCGATGTTTAATGAACTAATGAAATCAAAATTGATATGTAGCCGTAGAACATGTAGTATGTATTAATAGTTTGTATAGTATAGTTTTATGGCCCATTAAATTCACATTCAAAGTCACCTTTACCAAAAAAAAACACACCTCATTGAAGTTCTATAGTGACTTGGACTGTGGTGTTCTTCAAGCCCTGGCACAGGAAGAGGAATTCAAAATTGCTTTGCAATAAATATTGTTCATTAATAGGATCTATGTGACAGAGAATGACCAGGCTCACAATATTGTTTCAGTGGGTTGATCATCTGTCAAAACCTTGGCTTTTAGTACAATGTAGCTTCAAGGGTAAAACAATGCTACATTAGAATCAGAAAATATTGCTAGAAACGTGCGAGTAAGTGATGACAATGAGACCAATGATAATGATGATGAGAAAGATACTGTAAAATAATTCCGAAAGTAAGCCCTGGGGCTTATATTTTTCAAAGACCCTTTTTTGGGGTTTATTTTTGGAGGGGCTTATACTTGGAGGGGCTTATCTACGGAGGGAAATTTGCGTTTCAAAATCAATTGGGCTAGCCTTATATTTGGAAGTAATTAATATAAATTACCATTTTTGCTTTGTTTTACTTTATATTTGAGGGCAATTTTCCAAGTGCAAGACCCTGGGGGGCTTATATTTGGAGGGGCGATTTAATGGAGGGTTTCTTGCATTACGGGTTTGGGGGACTTATATTTGGAGGGGCTTACACATGGAGGGGCTTATTTTCAGAATTTTACAGTATTTAGTTTTATTAGATATACTAGTTATATGCAAATTTTGTCAATTTTAAAATAGAATACGTACTATTATGAATTGTATTATGAAAAAGTTCTAACTTCCTTTGCTAATACAGTCCATTAAATGTATGATATTAGCCAGGTTACATGATATCAAAGTACAGTAGATTAACAGATTCAAAATTCATACCAACTCCAAAGATTACATGTATTTTATTGTAATCCTAAGTGTGAGAATTTTTTAAAGTTCACTCCCCCCACTGCAAAATGAAAGTCCTGAACTGCAGAAGGTAAACTTAGGAAAGATGTAGCCCTAAGGGTATCATCTTCACTAGAGCTTAGCACCTGCTAAGCTTCTTTGATTTTCCCACGAAAGCAATATAATCTTTCAAACTCTTTGAACTTCAAATTTAATATACATTATGGTCTGCTTAATAAAGGGGACATGTTACATGTTTATGGCCTACATTTCAACAGCTGTGCCACTCCCAGAGACAACATTGTTGTTATGGAGTCATGCAATGAAGCTTTCACTTTTAACATTGAATAAAGATAATGTGAACTCCGGAAATACAAATTTAAGTGAAGAGAAGATTTTCACAGTGGTAATTGCAATTTAAGCACTTGCAAATTAACCCACCCACCCCCCCCCCCACCACACTCCACGATCATCTTTTTTTTTATTCAATCATACAATACACGAATTTCTTTGTAATATAAAAAATAAATAAGGAAAGCAGTAAAATAACAATGAATATAAAATATGATTTTTCCCATGGATTAGTTCAAATTTAAACAACCAAAATTCACCCCCCCCCCCCCCCCCCCACCTCAAACTTTCAGGACTTCAACAGGATTGAACCCATGGCCTCTGCATTAGCACTATTTTTCGGGGTCAATTTGCAATTGCTTACATTGTAAATTGCAACAATTGCAATTTACAATGTAAGCAGTTGCAGAGGCCATGAGTTTGGATCCCATTAAAGTCCTGAAATTTTTTTCAAGTTAATTTGCAATTGCTTAAATTGCAGTTACCACTGCAACGATCTTATCTTCATTTAAACCTTTACCATTGTAGACAAAATCCCATGAAAATTTCACTTTTAGTCCTGTGATCGTGACTGTTTGAACGAAACCACCTTGGTATTATTTTCAGATCAGATCATTAATTTTATATTTCAGTTCTTTGCAAAATATTGAATCTAACATGTATTTCAAATGTTATTTTATGACCAATCTCACAGCAAGTTAACTGGCATGGTCATAGTCATACTCATAGACTGGGCATAGTCTTGACTTTTTCTTTTCCTTTCTTCTCCTTCCCTCTTCTTTGCTTTTCTTGCCTTATTTTTTTTCTGTTGTGAAGAAAACACTTGAGTGGTTATCATCTATAACTGGTGTAGTTATAATAGTAAATTCTGACCCTAGTGGCCATAGTGCCTCCAGTAGCTTAGTAGTTAGAGCATCTGAAATAGGAATCAGAGGGTCATGAGTTTGATTCTCACCTCCCTTACAGAAATTCAGAATATTTATTAAAGTGTACTTTGGAAGACATTTAAAAGTATACTTCATTTGTGCTTTAAATATACTCAAAGTATACTGACCAAAAGTATACTTAAAGTACTAAATTGTTGGGCACTGAAAAAGTATACTTGAAGTATACTTTACAGGAAGTATCTTAAAGTGTACTTCAAAAATGTATACTTGAAGTATACTTGATGCAAACTTCACTGTACTTCAAACAGTAATTTCATTATTAACATTTCTGGAACTTGGAATTTTTTCTGAGCTTTCTGGTGTAAGAATTCTCCTTAATCTTCCAAATTACAGTATAGCGTACAGTCTTGGTCTTGTATGCTGCTGTTCAGCCGATTTCGAGCAAGTCCTCAATACAGTCCTTTATGACTGGTGTAGTTATAATTAAATTCTGACTCTGCTGGCCATATATATAGAGCCTACATGCACAGCAGCTCAGTGGTTTGACCATCTGAACTAGAACTTGGAGGGTCGTGAGTTTGATTCTCACGTGGAGCTCAGAATTTTTTCTGAGCTTTCTGATACATGTATTAATAAGAATTCTCCTTCTTCCAAATTATTTTTCTACCAGGAGGTTCCGTCTGTAAACCCCTCATGCAGACAACAACTGCTGGGAGAGTGATGTTAATTCATCAACTTGTGCTGAAAGGTGATTTGCAAGAATTGAAGAAGGAGATAGCTAAAGATATAGGTAAGGGCTAGTTCATGTCATACCTCTGTCATTAAATTGATAAAGCTTTCTTACATAGACAGTTTTCATTGTACGCTGTATTCTGATTTTGTTAAAAACATGGCATTTGTTGGCTGTTGAGATAGGTGTCTGACATATGTACAATCATGTTCTTTAATCACCTGAAACAGTGTTGAATAATTGACAGCCAGGTTATTTATTCAATGAAAAAGAATAGAAGTACAGTACTGAGGATATGAAATTGGATGAAAAATACACGTAATCATCATTTATTCAATGAAAAAGAATAGAAGTACAGTACTGGGGATATGAAATTGGATGAAAAATACATGTAATTATCAATTAACATGTTCTTAATCACTATTTGATTAATGATGTTTATTGCAGATCTTTTAGAAGGCCGGAACAGTCAGGGTATGACCCCATTGTTTCAGTCTGTCAGTTGCAATAACTTAGAGTGTGTTCAGTTCCTTGTTACATCAGGGGCAAATATTGATACACGTGATGATGTTGGAAGAACTCCGGTGGCATTGGCAGCTTATCAGGTACAGTCCAACATTGTTTTGTGCCCTTAAGATTAGCGTAGTATGTAATTCAATTACGTATTTGTTAGTTACATGTACTGGTTATCACCTCATTATGTGAACTTACAGCTGTAATGTACAATGTACCTGGTATTAGTTTAACCACTAGCCTAATGGTGACTATATGGAGGTCATTTTGAGTACATTGGGCTGTAAAATCTTGGTTGTGACACATGGTGGTCATATTAACAGGGTCTTCAAAAATTAATAATAAAAGGACTCAGTGTTTTTTTACGTATGATTCAAAACAGTATGGTTGTAATAATGAGGTGGTTTTAGTTTCACTGTACTACAAATAGTGTTGTAATTATTTTTGCACCTTGAAGCAAGGAAAACTTGTATGGTAGTGTTTCACTCAGGTCACATAAGCTAGTGTTTAACACAAAGGTAATGCAAGAGAAAAATAACTTAGCACTATGAGATTTTTATTGGGACAAAACAACCTGACAGTTTTAAGCAGGTACATTGCATATGTGAAGAAGGGTTTTATGTTGAAATGTACTTTTTAATTAACTAATTCATATACAGTTTCAGTTATGATTATATATTCATTTTATTTTTAAATGTGAAGTACCTGCAAAGTAGCTAGTGTATTTTTCACAAATAGTAAGCATATTTTCGCAATAAACTTGACTTGACTTGACTGTGTGGAGCTGATTGCATTGGGTACGGAAAAAAAATTATTTTGTAAGAGGTCACATCATGTAAAAAGTGCATGTAAGCTACTGCTATTTCCCTCTCCCCCCCTACCCCCACCCCATAGCACATATACATCTTTGATCTCAACAACGGCAGATACATGTGCACATGTGTATTTCTGAGGTCTGCATATATTTCCAAAGCAAAAGAGCCTTATGTTTATTGGAGTTCTATTTTAGATTTTGTGGATTACTATGCCATATTTATTTGAAATCAACAGGAGAGCAAAGTCACATCATCTTATAATATCAAACACTTTGTTTGACTGACTATATTACAGTAATTACATACTTTACTGTACTTGCTGACTGTACTTTATTAATCTGCAGGGCTGGCATGACGGGTTGTATTATCTTCTCGCTAAGGGTGCCAACTGCTTGATTGCTGATAACTGTGGACGGCTTCCACTTCATGCTGCTACATATTTTAGTAATGAATAGTAAGTTAACCTCTTTGTGTGTGTGCCTAAGCTGGTCTTATAGCAAGGCTGCTGCCTAATGGGCACCTACAATTTGCTTGCGGATGACTACAATTTTAAACATAAGGAGCCAGACTGAGCCAGATGTTCAACTTTTCATGAACCTAACTCCCTAAGTTTCGTTCCTCTCATGAAAATTTCAATGTTTGGTCTTTAGGCCCAACTTAACTTCGCTGAAATTTTACATGAAAGTATTGTCAGTCAGTGTCAAACACCGTAAGAGCAGAAAGTTATTTTTCTTGAGAATTAAATAGTTTTCCCGACATCCTTTCAATTGATGAATATTCAAAAATGCTGGTTTCTCAAAACGCGCAACTTGTGACTCAAAAGTTGATTCACTCATCTTGAAATTCAAATGAATTATCGAGTTTCAAAATGTGTGAATTGAGGATCGAGGGTCCCTACAGCTAGTGTCTGCTATAAAGGGAGTTGGCTGTAGGTAAAAAAAACCTCCTGCTACTACATTTGTATTTTCTGTTTTTGGCTTGGGCTCCTAACATTTTATTTTAGGAGCCCAAAGGGCTCCCAATAAATTTTCCTAGGCAGCAGCCTTGAGAGATGTAAATCTTTGGCTGTGTGTCATCTCTGTTTACAGTTGTAGCTGCATAACATTACTCTTAACTGCCACTTATAAGCTTCCCCCCCCTCACAGACACACACACACACACAAAGATAGAAGCGCCCCTAGAAATGTATTAAAATGATTTTGATTTATTATGACATTTTGAAGGTTTATTAAAAACCAGTAAATTGCATGGTAATCATGTGAATGCTCCTGCAAGTGATACAACAGTCATTATTCAATTCGCAAGCACACATAATTCAGGTAGTCAAGTACTGTACTAAACGTGAGACTTCGATTCGCCTTGCCAATCGGGAATCTACTTACCCAGGAAAATGAAAGTAGACCTGATCTAAGCTTAGTGCGGGACAAGTTTTCGCTAAGATACGAGAGTTAGCAAAGCCTAGAAAATACATTGTATCCACTGAAGTTAAGTTTATTCAGGTTTCACTACAGTGCATGGTTTTCATAAATTCTTAAAAGCTTTCCAAGTATGTTACGTCGCTTATCGTCCAAAACCTTCAATAAGCTTTAAACTCCAGTGGTAAACCAAGCTGTCTCATTACGAATTTTTTCTATTGCTTATCAACAGCCTTTGGTCATTGAACATGGATTGAATATTCGATTTAATAATAAGACTTTGTGCAGTAATGCATTACTTGTGTTGAACACATTACTGTTTTATTGTATCTTTGCCTGCGAATTCAGCCGTCTCTCATTGGAGGCTAATAGTATCTAAGCAACTGTGAGTAAAATCGTTAAAATGAAATATGAGTCTTGTTTACTGTGTTATTCAATCCAGTTTCCACATTCATGATCCACCAAGATCCCTTTTGTTGACACTGGAACTAGAAGGGCTTTCTCTGATTCACATATGCAATTATGAAAACAGTTTTCAAGGTAAACCCACATGTTCGCCTGCACTTTCTAACCAACTGCAGTTTCTGCTAGGAATATTCAGGTTTCAACCCTTCTTGGATATAAGCCCCTCTATATGCACGTAAAAGCTCTCCTTTTAGTTAAACCCCCTACGAAAATATCTACATGTAAACCCAGGCCTTATAAGTGTCAGTTTACGGTATTTGAATGTTTTTATTTTCTTTCTGCAGTTCCCTTGAAGTCCTTTTGCAGTACCTTTCATTACAAGACATAGATGCCAGGGATAATGAAGTATGTGAATGTGCTCTTATGGGTTATCACACTGTATAAGTACAGTTCTGTCTAGTTTTTGCAACTTTTTTTCTTGTGTCTCTCCTAGGGTATGACTGCTCTTCACTGGGCAGCTTTCCATGGACGAACAGGTCATGTGAAGAAACTAGTGGAGAAGAAAGCTGATCTGATATCACGTGACACAGATGGAAAACTACCACTTCACTGGGCCTCACAGGTGTTTTTAATAGCATCAGATATATTTTTTTCTTTAACATTTGCTACTGTCTACAGACACTGACTTGAAGAGTCAACTTATAGTACTGTAGCTGACTACATGCATAATGTTGACTTCTTCCAAGTGACTGCCACACTCTACCATCACCATCACTTCCATCTGACCTCATGTTTGTTCCACCCCCTCTTACTTCTTTTGTCATTAATTACTTGCCTTAATATGCCACTACCACATTGTACCAACTGTTATATGTACTGTATTGCTGTGGAAGTGTGATGGCTTAGAGAGGTTGATATGTTGAACTTTTATAGGATCTGTACAACGTGTTTGAGCCTATCATTGCCATCATGGAATTTCCTCTGTTCCCCTGAGTCTCTCTAATCTTCACCCTGCGGCTTTATAAAGTTAATGCTTATGATCAAAATCCATGGACCATGAGTGATGTTTGTGATGCATTCTCACACAACAAATCAACACCCTTGCATTTGCCTAATAAGGACCAGCAGTATACAATAATATTTAAACATTGTGCAGTAATGACTACCACGAGAGAAAGGATAAACAGTCCAATCATTCACATACCACAATAAACAAGAACGTGCTCACAGCTGCATTCAGTCCCGCTTGCTTGGAGATTAGATGGAGAAATGAGGAGGGGATTAATTCTACACAAAACAGGATTTGCTCACTATAGGTTTTTTACTTCCTACTTTATTGACGTGGATAGTTTTTACTTGTTTCTGAATTGATTTAGTACAGGTGTTAGCGACAACTGGAAATACGTCTGCAGTCGCAGGCTATATGCATGATAATAATACACAAAAGTTTAAGGGCCTTGATTCCAGAGAAATTACGTCATTGTCAGAGATCAAAAAAGTGATTTACATGGCACGTCATTTCAATCATTGCCGAAAATAAACTTCATTCTCGTCACAAGACCCATATAAGTTTACAACACCCGACCAGTGCAGTTTTGCTGATTAAGATTCTTTTTTTTTCCATCTACTCAGTAGTGTTCACTTGTTCCAAAGTAATCAACGCTTTGAAGCGATAGAATTTGTGGACCGACACGTTTCCGAAAAGCTCTTAATTTAATCTTTCCTAAACATGTGTGACTTTGATCACGCAACGATTCATAGCCCGAGTTTCCATGGTCTCCGCTCGGAACGCCTGGCACAATGAACCTCTATTTGTGTATAAGATACGAACAAAAATGCGAAAACGTATTGCAGATTAGGAATCTTGCTGCTTGGGCAAGCAAGAGACTAATAACATCTTTCATTATCACTTAAAGATGTTTTTTGGATATTTTTAGGTTGAGGCATTTTTGAGAGAAAAATGGTTACACCTAGATCTATTAATTTATATTCATTAAGATAACATTTTATAATAATTCTATTTTCATAAGTGCCTTTTATATAATGTTAAATATCAACAAGTCCAATTTTTCTTCTTGACTAACTGGCTAACTACTGTATATTTATGTCCTTGTTGCTTTAAATGCACAGAATGGCTTTGTTTCAACTTGTGAAGCCATGTTAGAGGTTCCTGATTGCCATAACCTAGTGAATGGAAAAGATTTCTCTGGAAGAACACCGATTCATTTAGCAGCAGCTGCAGGGCAATACCATGTGCTTATCAGACTCACTGCAGTGCCATATGCAAACATTGAACCTTTGGACAATGAGGGCAGGTATTACTTAAAATTCATTGCATACATTGTAAATAAGTGTTTACCTGTGAAGCACGTAGGAGTTCTTAAGAATTCATTTAAACATGTCTGTGTGTTCCACATTGAATTGGAAGTTGGACATGTTTGTTTTTGAGGAGATGGGAAAACCAGAGTACCTAGAAAAAAAACCTTTCGAAGCATGGGGAGAGAACCAACTTACAAACTCAAACCACACACATGTATGGTGTCAACACTGGGTTTTGAACCCAGAATACTTTGATAGGAGGGAAGGGCTAAAAAATAATCCCATTTGGTAGTCCTAGTGGATTTTCCTACTGGGAAAGTATTTAAAGCTTACAGGGTGCCCGA